TCGAGGTCGCCTTTGCCGAACCGGAGAGAGGAGAAGAAGAGAAAGGACAGGAAGAAACAAGTTGTTCAGGCAAAGCTTGAACGCGATGAGTTGCCCCAAGACCCGCTCCAGGTTGTCGTCTCTCCTCGCACCAGGGAAGAAGTAGAGGGGAGGAAAGGCAGTCGCTCGAGAAGACTGTCTGGTAAGCCACTCGCTATGATGAGACAGCAGCAACTCACCAGTTCTGAATCAGAGGAATCTGCAGTCGCTGATGTGGCGTCGCCGGAAGATGGTTGTGGAGGCACAGCTGTTGATGTCAGGAGTGTCCATGTAGGTCGTCCGATTCCGCCCCTTGACGTGAAGAGGTTGTTGCGCAACCAGAGGGTGGAAGTTGATGAATTTTCCTCCCAGACCTCGTATAATGGGGCAGAGAAAGTTTTCCAAGAGACGAGGGAGAGGAAGTACGGCGCCATCTTCTTGCGGAATAGTGCCGACGTGAGTCAGAAGGAAGAAGGCGGGGGGACGACGAAGGTGCGTAGTGTCCAAGCTGGAGTCGTAGGTGTTCATATGTCAGATGAGCAGTTCTCGCGAGCTATCTTAGGGAGGATTCAGAGCGTGACGCAGACTACCACTAGGCAAATATTTCAAGGGGGATCCTTGTTAGTAAAGAGGAATCAAGGAAGGAGTTTCATGTCGACATCATTGCAGGATTTGATGATTCAACCCAATCCGTTCAGTGAGATGTTAGACGCTATGCACAAGTTCATATGATGATCGCAGATAATAACCAAAGGACTTACTACGTGTAATAAAAAAAAAAAAAAGAAACGGACTCTGTATATTTTTCATGTTTTCATCAGTTATTAATTGTTCAAGTTTTGAGATGTTTTGTGACTTGCAGTTTTATAGTTAATGTTACGCACGGGATTAGTTGTTTTTAAGTTTATAAAACGAGGACGTTTTTAAATTAAGGAGGGGGCAGTGTAACGGAGTTGTTTCAACGTAGCGGGCGTATGTGGGTCAGTGCATGCGGGTGGGAGTTAGGTATTAGGCATGAGCAAGAGAGGACGTGTTCGGGCAGGTAGCTAGGGAGGGCAGGATAAGATAGGTGAAACAGGGTGAATCGGAGTACTGCTACTAGCTGTTGAAGGGAAGTTACATTGTAAAGTTGGAGTTCTTCGTGAATAAAGGCAAGTACCTTTTGATGTAAAATGACACTGTGTTTCCGTGTATTATAGAAAAGTAGCGTGATCTGAGTGCGATCGATGATGTTGGAGTGATAGCTTCACTGTTTATGAAAGAACCGTGCGGGTGATTGGAGTCTCGTGAGATTTATTGACCGCTCGGTAATGGTGCAGGGACCCCGGACAAAACCCGTTACAATAATAACAATTAAAATGATGATTATAATGATGATGACGGTGATGATGATGATGACGATGATGATGATGATGATGATGATAATGATAATGATGATGATAATAATAATAATAATAATAATAATAATAATAATAATAATAATAATAATAATAATAATGATAATAATATTAATAGTGATGATTATGATGACATCAATGATCAATTCTTAGCATATTAGTAGGCTTGTCAGCATGGATTTACATTTTATAGAGACATTATCATCTACTAAGTACATGTACATTGAATATTTAGGTAAATTCTTTACAAAATATTTTTATGTGGCAGTATTATGAAGCCATATATTAATTTTCTTTAGAAAGTATACTGTTTTAGTTGCTTTAGAGAGAGAGAGACAAAATTGTATTTAATTGATAAAAGAAACAAAATTGTTACTTGATTAAGGAAAATATATGGCACACTCCTATAGTGCATGTGTACTCTGATTAGTAGAATTGAAAAACTGCAATAAGGAGGCTGTATGTATATCTCAAATAAATGTACCAAAGTATTGCCCGATATGTGCAATATCATCTGAATTTTCCAGTTATTAAGACAAACTCCCTTTTTTATGTTCCTTTTTGCAGGGTCTTGTATTGGCATCGTGCTGTGTGGCTTTCTCAGTGAATCTCTCTATCTATTGGATTATAGGCAACACGTCTCCAATAACGTATCCTTTAAAGATGACTTGAATATCTGCAGGTACAAGCCTTGCAGGCCACTATTGGATATGCTTTGTGTACACTGTAAGCCATTTTGCTTGTGAAGCATGCATCTTGTCTGTCACATTTATCTGCAGAGTAACTGTTAAATTAATCATGATGGGGTTAAATCTTTTTTTCTGAATGTATGTATCAATTTGAAAACGGTACATTTTGCATCAAAAATAGAATACATTTATAGATTTCTAGAATATGTCTATTTATTCGTAAAACAGAAGATTAGACTCGCAAGTCATTTCTTATGATATTGAAAGTGCAGACCAATAATGTAGTAGCATTTATGTGAGCTTACATTAGCAGGGATCAACTCTAACAAATCTTGGTTGGTTTTACCTGAGTGCTAAGAAAGTATGCTTGTGAATATTAAAGCAACCAGAGGACCGATGGCTTTAAAGAGAAGGTTGAGTTCTGGGAAGAGGTGAAAAATAATTTGTGAGCATTACTCATTCTTATTATGCAAGTGTGGAAGAACATCAGTTAAGACATGTTCCCTGAAAAGCATGGCTCTTCAAATGCCTTCATATTCTAAATATGCATGTAACATCGTAAAAATCGGGGGGCCGGCTTTTTACGCCACGTGTTCGTGTAGTCCCATATACATCTTTCTGTGCAAATGTTTGTAACTTTACCAAGACTTGGCCAAATTTCTTATCATTTTGATGATTCCAGAACCTTGCAATACACACAAATTCTTATATGCTAGATGATCAATCTTTTCTGGTCGGTTCCACACCGTTTCTTTCACAATGCAATCGCATGACCAGAACTCAACTATATCTTTAAAAATGAAGTTGAGTAGTGAGCACATTTTTTTTTTTTTTGATCCTCAAAAATTTTTCAATTTGCACCCCCCCTTGAGCGCCAGGGGGGGGGGGGCCCAACCCCCCAAAAAGGTAAAAATCACGTGATTTTACATGATTTTTTTCTCAAGGGGGGGGGGGGCCGGGCCCCCCGGGCCCCCCCCCCCCCCCCCCCTGGATCCGCCACTGGGTGGAGCCCCCAAAAATCAGGGGTTTTAGGCATTAAATTACCGTCAGATGAGCATCTAAGGGCCTCCCATAGGGCCCTAGGTGGAATCCAGGGGGCAGAGCCCCCGGAAGCTTAGGGGTTTTAGGCATTTAATCACGGTCAGCTGAGCATATTTTGATGCCTCATTATTTGTTAACACTGGCAGTTAACTATTCTTTCTTTCTTGCTCTCATTCTATTTTATTTCTCTTTAATACACTTTTTCAAAACAAGTGGGGGGGGGGGGGAGCTCAGAGCTTTCGATCCCCACCGTACCTCGGGCCCTGACATGTAGAAATCTCAAGAATCATATTTCTTGCCCGGCTGTAAATTTAGGAATTTGTCATTTTCCAACAAACACATACAAACGTATAATTTACTAAAAAGTGAGGAAAAATCTCGGAAATTATGTAATTTCAGCATTATTTGTAATCCACCGTTGTGGAATTAGAAATGAAACCAAGCCCCCCCCCCCTATCAGTACGCCAGTATCTCCTCTTTTACTTTTTTCTTTCCCTTTCCTTCCTTCTCTCTTATTTTTTTTTTGGGGGGGGGGGGGGGGGGGGGGGGGGGGGGGGTCAACAGCCTGGGCAAGGCAAGGCCCTTTCGGTCCCCCGATCTCCTTCTTTCCCCTTTTCTTTTCTTCTTCCTCTTCTTTCTTTCCCTTTCTCTCCTCTTTCCTTTCCCTTCTTTTCCTTTCTTCTCTCTTTTTTTTTTTTTTTTTTTTTTTTTTTGGGGGGGGGGGGGGGGGGGGGGGGGGGGGGGGCCAAGGCCTGCTCGGCCCCCCTGGATCCGCGCCTGCAGTTAGTACATTCATATATGTACATGTATCAGGACCATACCCCCCTCCCCCCCCCCCCCCCCCCCCCCCCCTGCTAGCGACGAGAGGTCCATTAAAAAAAATATGCTCAGTGTGATATTAGGTAAAGGAAATATGTAACAAGCATACAACATAGGTAGGACACAGTTATTAGTGAAACCGTCTTGGTGTTCAAAATTGTACCTAAAACTTAATTTTCAGTCAGATTATGCCAACAAATTTACCAGGTCACACCCTCTCTACAGACCCTCCCCCCCCCCTCAACTTGGATATTTGCACACTCGAAGGGGTCCCCCTCATATAATGTCTAGTTGTCTACACCTCCCCCCCCCCCCCCCCCCCCCCCCCCCCCCAAAAAAATCCTAGTTAAGGGCCTTTGTATAGTAGTATATCCCATCCCATTTGCTGAGCACTGATTTAAGGTTTTTTGTGGAACGGGTACAGTATACAAATATTGACTGCTCATGAGGATGATGGTGGGAAATATCACTCCCAAGGTAGTGTTTACACCGGCCCTTCTATCATCCCCGAGGCGAAGCCGAGGGGTTGATAGAAGGGCCGGTGTGAACACCACCGAGGGAGTGGTAGTTCCCACCATCATCCGATTACAGAGCAGTCCATATTTGTTTTATATACCTCATCCTTTTTATTGATTCATGATTAGGTCTAGCTGTAGGTCTAGATCTAGCTCTAAAAACAGGAAACGAGATCAAGAGGAATTTACTAACCCAAATAAGAAAAATCCAACATCAAGTCCAAGGCAAGAGTATTGAATTCCTACGCGCTGCGCGTAACCGCGCGATTGCGGTAGCCTAGCAACTCAAAAAATTTGTGTGCGCAACTAAGTCGCGGGAGGGGTTAGGGCAAAGACGTTTAAAGACCTTGACCGGAGCAGAGCATTATATAGACAAATTATATACCTACGGACTCGTGAATATTTACTGAATATGAAAATGCAAACTTCTCGAGATTCCACGGCCTCTGAAAGAAGTATTTAGCATCCGAACCCCAGGATTCACGGATTTGAGAGGGGCACCCCGGAGATTTAGTTCGGCTGCGCTAGCCGGTGGCCGTTTCTACCCGTTTCTGATGACGTCATAACGTGTAGGTTATTTGGCCACTCGGTATTGCAGCTGGTTCTTCGCATGGTGGTCGGTATGTGAAGTTTTCTTCTCTCTTTTTTTGTTGTTGTAAATATCAATGTCGAAGCTGTATTTGGACATTTTACGATTAGAATGTTGACATTTTATATCTGTATTAATTTCACGCTACGTAATATGGAATATCAACCCCAAATTTCCACTAAATTAGATTGAAACGAATCATTTGCCCGCGCTGCTGGCTGCCTGCCTCGGTCTGCGATTGCACAACTTTCAGCAATCTATCGCTGAGCCTCGCGAGAGCACTCGGGCCGCGGCCGGCCCGGCCTGACTTGCCGCGCCGTGTCATGCTGGTGGTCGTGGAATATTTCTCGAACAAAACTAAGTTTCGCTCGCTTTTATCGCACAGATAGCCTTTCCTTTTGCATGGTTTACCAGCATTAAATCAAAGAATTATTTAATTAGATCTACATTGTTTTATTGTCTAGAATATAGTCTGTAAACAATGAAAAATAAGAAGAAGATGAAATGGAGATTTTGAAGAAGAATTGGGCCTAAAAAAGAAGAAAAAGAAAACTAGGTAGTTGGTAGAATCTAGGCCTTGGACTCGTGCCGCCCAGTGGCAGTGCACTGCAGTACAGTGAAGCCAGGAACTAAATTATTTTGAATTGATGTCAGAAATCACATGGGTGCCTCTTCTTGATACTTTCTCGTGATGAAAACACTGTTTTTATTCAAATCAAAATGGTCTAGAGTCTAGATCTAGTGTTGTTGCCAGGGATGATTATTAAAACAAAATCATCGGTCATTTGTTGTTGACTTTGCTTCTATTTTTTTTATCCGACTACAGATTAACTTTGCTTTTTTTTTTTCTATGAAACTAGCCTCAAGTTGTTCTTTTTGTTTGGATGTGGGTAAAATCCTTATTTATATGCATACGGTGTAATAATACTTTGAAGATGTTTGTCAAAATGCGAGCAAAATATTTACATTTATTTTAATAATGTACATTCAAGTTTAATTTAGTTCAATTTTGATCATGACATTCATATTTTTTTTGTTGCAATTTTCTAAATGATTAATATTCATTGTGGAATGAAAAAATAGTTTTGGCGAAGGGATGAGATGCTTGGAAATGCCGAGATCATGATTGCTAACTATTTAAATGAACTCTCCTTCACCTTTACCGCATATATTATATTCCCAATCTTATTACAGGTACAAAGGTGTACGACAAGCTTCGAGAGGAATGGCTGAGGACCAGACTGATGAACGACATTGGGATGATGTCCCCACATGCCCAAACCAGCAAGGTTGAATCATTCCACAACATCCTCCTTCACTTTTGCCCCAAGTTGCTTGTATACTCATATCAAGGGATGAAGTGCAGGTAAATTAGGCAATTAATTCATCAACATTATGCTCCCCTAATATAAATTTAACAAGAACGTCACAGAGGGCAGTGTTGTTTCTTCTTCTTCTTTTGAATTTGATTTTATTGGTTTTATGTTTTAAAGATATTATTTTCTTTTTGTTATAGCCAGGTTCTTTCTATTTCATATTTTGTTGGTTTTTTTTATTTTTTTTTATTTATTATTTGTAACACATGCTTTTTACACTAACTCTTGCCTTCACTTATTGGAGAGTAGGTAACAAGTTTATGATGATAGACATTACATTACCAAAAAGATAAAATCAACTGTCACAAGTATGTTATTCATGTGACCTTTATTTTTAACTTCACTCTTTTCAGATTATATTTGGCTGTCCTACATTGGAACGAAAATTGTGATAGAGCCCAGGCTGTTGATGCCGAAGGGAACCCAGTGTACAGGTTGAAGTATCCACGCTCGAAGGAAGGAGGCCACACAGTGGAGAGAGTGCTGACAGCTGGCACATGTGGTAAGTAGCCACATGTCTAGTGAATGATATCAATATTCAACAAAAGAGCTCAATTATATATAGAAATCTTTTATTACTTCATGATCAATAGAATTCAAATTAGTAGATTCTTGTGGCCTATATGCCCTTAATTTAATCTGTTGATTAAATTGATAATTATAAACATGTATTGGGTTACTTTCTGCAAATGTGTAATATTGAATAGCAAGCAGAAACAGGCATATATGTCAGTCCCCAAGTCAGTGAACTACCTATTCAGCAAAGAACATGTGCATGCCATTGGTATTTGATTGGTCATCCACCTACAAATAGTGTGTAAAATTAGGTAATTCAATATTTGTGAGAAAAAGAGTTTTCTCTTCTTATGTTCTTATTTTTCTCTTTTCCTTTTTTCCTCTTATCAAAATGTATTTTTTTAACACCGTATAGATGAATTTTCAAGGTATAGTTTTGGATTTTATCTTGTAGGTTATGTGAAAGCCCTGATGAGAGTTGTCGTAGAACTGGTGGAAAACAGGGAGCAGCTCAGAGACAACATGGAGGAGCTACAGCCTCAACCAGCACAGAGTGCCTCTCATCATCACCCCGACAATGGAGAAGCCGTGCAAGCTTTTGAACAACATCATCGCTTTGGCGATAGAAACTAGTTCTTTTGGTGATAGAAACTATGATGAATGTGTCAGCTACCTGAACATTAACCACTGATTGTTTTATTTCAGTACAAGACATGTTTTTCATAGACCCTAAATTATGTTTATGCCAGTATAATTATGGAGAGTAACATGGAAGTACTCTATGCAAGTGAGTAGTGGATTCCGATTCTATGTGAGTGTAAAGCACTAGAAACTTGTCTGTAAGCTTGTACATACTTACACAAGCCAAAGTCCATGGTACACATCAATAGTCATTGGTTTTAATAGGTAAAATACTTATTAAATTTGTAAAACTTACATTTTTAGTTCAATTAAAAACAATTTCTGAAGCATATGCACTAGATTTTCATAAACACTAAGTAAATCACTGTTGATCATGAATTTGGCACCAAATATAATCTGATTTTTCTCACAGTCCTTCATCTTGGCCAATGCTTTTTGCTTCTTATTTGCAAAAAATAAAAAATTAAAAAATGCATTTTTTTTCTTCATCTAAACTGTTCTTATTCAAGAACCATTTGATGTATTGCACCAGATATGACTTTATTTTTTGTTTTTGATTTTTTCCCTTTTCTGCCGAGGTGAATTGTTTTATTCATTTTCGAAGTTAGTAGTTTTAAAGATCATGCCATATTATCACAGAAGAGGAAACATTGTGATGATACTTCATCGCATCCATACTTTTTTTCCTAACAGCGGTTTCCTGTTTGTCCTAAAACCTGGTTATAAAAGATTGAAAAATAATCATCCTTGCAGATATAATAAAAATAGTCATCTATCCTGTAAACTTTACATAAAATAAGGATGAATGTAATGTACATGTTGCATCAAAGTTTTTGTTCCAATGGTGCATCATTTTGAAATATATTGCACAAACAGAGAAGAAAATGATTGGAGGGAAAAACCGTCAATGGGATGTTCTGAGAATATTTTGAGCAAAGGTAAACAAAAATTCATCTAAAGGAACACAAATCTTGTTTATTTCTATTATAGGTGTCTTGTAGGAAGCTTCATAATTTAAAGATGGAAATTGCTGTGAAAATGAGAGTGAGATAGAGAATGTGAAGGAAGAAGAGGGATAAAGATAGATACCAATAGGGATAGAGTGAGAGATGTGGATGTGATGGATGGAAGAGGAGAAAGAGAGATTGTGAAAGAGTGAGAGATGGGAATGTGATGGATGGAAGAGGAGAAAGAGAGATTGTGAAAGAGTGAGAGATGGGAATGTGGAGGAAGAGGAGAAGGAGGGACAGAGTGAGAGATGGGAATGTGGAGGGTGGAAGAGGAGAAGGAGGGACAGAGTGAGAGATAGGAATGTGGAGGGTGGAAGAGGAGAAGGAGGGACAGAGTGAGAGATGGGAATGTGGAGGAGGAGAAAGAGAGGAGGGACAGAGTGAGAGATGGAAATATGGAAGAGGAAACAGAGGAAGTGGGATAGAGAGATGGGAATGTGGAGGGTGGAAGAGGAGAAAGAGAGAGGAAGAGGGACAGAGTGGGAGATAGGGTTAAGGTTTATCCTTTTTGGGAGGATAGATTTGATGCAAAATAAAGGATTTCCTGGATTTATTACGATGCTTACCATTTATCACACATTTGAAATTTCGTCAACCGCAATTCCCTTCTCTTACTCTCATTATTCCTCTGTCTATCTTTGTTGTGTCCATGCTGTTATTTATCTTTCTCTCAATTTCGTTTTCTCTTTCAATTTCATTTTCTCTTTCTCTCCCCTTTTCTGACTCGGCAGGTTGACTGTATATGAAATGCTCAAATTATTAAAACAAATTACATTGCAGGGTGTATAACAAAAGAGAAGGAACAAGGCATGTTGTGTTTTTTTTGTTTTTTTTGTTGTTGCTTGTTTATATAGATTTCAACATTCTTCCTCATAAGAAATCGTTGCTTGATCACAGTTTTGCAAAAGTTCGAATATCAGCTCTTGGAAATTAGAATCAAATGTCGAGATCAAAGTTCATAGCAACCATACCATCATGAGAAGTTCAAACAATAGTATTTGTGATGAATATGAAGATGAAAGCCGATGATCACAAATAACGTACAGAAGATGGCTGACAATCACATAGAAGATGACAGTCATTCAAAGTTCGCAAGACAATAGTTGATGTTACATCCTCATCTCAACCGACGCAGGATGGTCCCTTTGTACTGACCACGTCCATCAGGATACACTTCCATTATTGAGGCATGGACACATGCTGGCAGTTGCACCCTGATGTCCTTCCCGAGCCAGCCCCAACACCATCTCACGACTTTCCTGTAGGCCACATACCTGTATTTTCTGTAAAATAAAAAGCAATAAAAAAAATTTCATTATTTTTCTTAGGATAGATGATTTGATGTCAAAATATTAATTCTTTATTAATTAATTCAGGAAAATAAAAATGATTAAAAAAAACTAAAATGACCAAGGGTTAGTCATTGTTTGTCGGGCGGTGGGGGGCAACATTCAAAATCGCATATAAAGTTTGTGTTTCATAACTACAGATTATTGGGGGGGGGGGGGGGGGTAACATGCTAAAACTCACAAACCGGTGGTCATTCTTGCCTATTTGTATACATTTCCTGAAAAAGTGCCCCGAAGCACCTGCAGATAAGGCAGCTAGTACACCAGTGGTCACCAGGCAAGAATTTTGGTCAAAACTAGTAATTCATCTTGCGGTGACTCAATTCGTTTTGAAAAGTTTCACCCAATAAACTTTCAAAATCAATCCATTTTTTTTTTTGCCCTTGCCAAAATGATGAAAAGGAGAAACATAACTTACTCATTGTTCCTGTCCCCAAATGCTTTGGCTGCTCGGCGCCACCTATCTGTGTACTCCATCCATCCGATGTACAATGTTGTCGCATTTAGGATGGCCGGCTCAAACTCCTCAGAATCCACCAGACAACTTGAACCCTGTCGATCAGCCTCTGCCTTGACCTCTGCAATTTCCTGACAACAGACACAATCACCTTCATTGAAAGATGGAGGCACACGACATCTTCCACATGTACACCTTGAAATACAGAAAGATTCAAACAAAAATCAATACACCTACTATAATTTTATAAATATTTTATTACAGCTTCCTGATAAATATAAAAATGACATCGTTCTCGTAGTCGTAGTATGGTAAGAGTGCCCAAGGCAGTGCCTATGTCTGCGCACCCACGTAAATGCGCGATATTTATAGAACAAAACATCAAACTGACACCAATTTTCAATCTTAACCTCAACAATTCATTTAGATACCAAAATTTGTGAAAATAATTGGGAAGATTAAAAATGAGTTTTAGCAAGTTTCATTTGCCACCCTGAAAATTTCAATCATTGTCAAAAAAGAAAAGTCTGAACAGGGGGTTGTCCCTGGTATGAAACTTCACTGTGCTTGATTGAATTGCGTGCAAAATAGTGAGTGCGCAGACATGGGCACTTTTCAGTTTTGCTACACAAAATGACAAGCCCGTCTGAAATTCGTTAAAAAAAATTGTTCTTGTGAATAATTTGTCGAGTTTTTTTGTTTCAGTAATCATTAGAATATGAAGAACGGAATAACAATGATGATTCTAAAAATAATATCTTACTGTGTAATGAAATCGAGGTCGAATTTTAGGTGCGCAGACATAGATCTAGAGAATCATTTTAACAAGTTAACTTTAGAATTAGACATGCCATTTATGACCGAGTCTAGAGATCTACGGTATTTGATTTCAATTTTGGGGGGAATAAATATTTAGAATGCACAACAAATTCAATAAGCTTATAAGTCTTAATTACCAATCCTCGACATTTTCATGAAGCCGATTTGCGTTGTTGGCCCTTCCAGCATCGCCAACATTTTGCCCAGGTTCACCACGAGGTAAAGGCTCATACTCCCACTCGACGATACGCCCGTGTTCTCCGGCGTCTGCATCACTTGCATCGCTGTCGGTATCACTGCTGCTGCCAGTACTGTCCGGACTGTCACTACTACCGCTGACACTGTCATTTTCACCGCTTTCCCCGCAACTGCCATCCTCCTCACACTCAAATTCCATAACTAAATCATCTTGTGCATCTGCCCTGACGACTGGGGTAGCCATTCTCTTTAGAAAGACTTCTCAAAACTTCTCAAACTTCAATCGATAAAAAGCAGAAAGGATTCACGGTACGCAAAATCAATGTAGATCTCGAACATCGCGCGGCGAAGAATTATAGCAAACAATTCGAGTCTACACGAAATGACGTCACCCAAGTCCGTGCGGCGCGGGGGCTCTTGACCGAGGCGAATTTGGGAGGGGGCGGCAGTTGTACTGTAATTTTCATTTTTCTCAGTAATGAAAGGGTATTTAATTTTTTCTTTCTTGTATTTGTATTTTGTGTTTCATTAGCCGTCTGTGGATGTATGGTTGTTTACGCTCCGGTCAAGGTCTTTAAATATAATTACTAGACGGAAAGCAGCACGCGCGGAAACCATGCAGACGAATGGGATTAGGCTCCGCCTCTTTTGGATCATTTGAAGACAAAATAAGCTACCGAGGCGGCTTTTTGATTGGATATGAGCCTCATGAATATGTATTTTATCGATAGTATCGTTTAAGAAACCGGATAATATATTTGACCTCATTGCGTCACTTTAATTATGCAGATTTATGCACGACGCTACTACACTCGCACAAACGGTAGCCTCTAATCGGGCACATCTACAAGGAGGTCAATGAATATGCATATCAGTGACGTCGTGTCAATTTATGAATATTGATGTTCTTGACTGCGCGCGTACGATCGTACGTACGTACGTGCAGAATTGGGGTCATGACTGTACAATGAACACAGTGGTTCAGCCAAATCAGGGCAAAATCTTACCATTATAAAGTTGTATTGTCCGTGATTATGAGGTAGAAGTGTTTGAGTGTTAAGTAAATTTATTTAGTGTGGATTTTGATACATTTTTGATACAGTTTATACAAAAATGGCGATTCTTTTGGTCGTTTTTTAACTCCATAAAACACGTGACCAACTCGGTCGTCGGCTAAACCACCTCCCTGTAGATGTGCTCGCCTACCTCCACATGTGCCCGATCGAGATAGGGATCGAGTTGTGTAATAAAATAGTATTCTGTATTCAATATCCGAGAGTTAACGGATGTAACATTAAATCTCCCTTATATATGAGTTTACAACTATCAATTCAACATCTTTGCATTGATTTTCTTTGAGGTATACGTGTTTAACGTTGTCAATACATCACCTCCCTGTAGATGTGCCCGCCTTTGTGCCCGAGATAGGGGATATGTAGTAAGGCATACAACTTAGTGTTGTAGCCTATATCGAATTTCCGACATGTCATGAATATAATAAAGCTTCATAAGATACAAATGAGTTTCATAAATATCAATTTATCTTCTTTTCATGGATTTTCTTTGGATTCTACGTGTTTTACGTTGTCAAACAACCACCTCCCTGTAGATGTGCCCGCCTCCCGCTACATGTGCCCGAGAT